AAACATAAAAATGAAAAAATGCAAAGAGAATATACTGAAGGAAAAATTGCACTAAAGATGATAACTGTAATTGCGAAAACGGATCAAGATAACATTTCAGCCACGTGTAGCCATGATAGAGTTCAAAAGTTCGAAGAATAATTAGTTTTGTCAACTGTTTAACGGATTTTAACATAATCTAGACTAATGATAACACTGATCCAATGTTCCTAATTACGTGACCGGAAGATAAAAAAAATAAATATTGATGATGTTGAAATTATTTTTCATTTCTCAATCTAAATGTATACCGCACACATTCACGCTTCAAAAATATCTCAAACCTAGAAACTTCTTTCTGAAAAAGGAACGTACCTTTCTCAAACTGGATCGATACCTAAAAAATGTCGATGGCAACCTTGAGGGTGGGGTGTGGATGTGGGTGTGGGTGTGGAGTGGGTGTGGGCTGTGGGTGTGAACGTATTTCTTTCCGTAACCCACACCCTCAAAAACATCACTATGTACAGCAAAAAAAAGATGTCACCACTAACATCAACATACAAAGAGACAAAACACAACGTCTCTTATGGCGTATAGTATGCAGATCGTCAAAGGAGGGGGGCGGGTTTGCTCGTAAAACGGTCCTAAAGAAAAATCATCTCGGAACACTTTACAAAATTGAATTTCATCTTCCTCTAAGTAAGAATAAAGCATCTGGACCCCTTTCAGGTCATGTTTCAAGACCTCTTCTCGACATTTCTACCTAGGACAGAAGCATTATCAATATCGGAATCCCCCTCATAGGTTAACCGCGTTAGTTTACCAAATCAGTCTCATACTTTCAGGGAAGATAGAGCTTTTCAGGAGCTACAAAATGATTACAAATTGTTAAGGAAAATATGCTGCGCTCGACAATTTTCAAGGACCTCACTGTCCAGGTTCTACAGGAAAATCCATTGTTGTGATAGTATGGTCCGTAGGATCTTAAGTATTGCTCCTAATACCACCGTCATTTTTCTGTACAGATAGAACTTTTCAAGGCCTTCAAAATGATAATAAATTGTGAAGTAAAATATGGTGCGCTCGACAATTTCCGTGGATCACACTATCCAGGTTCTACAGGAAAACTCATTGTTGGGATAGTATGGTCCACACAATCTTGAGTCTCGCTCCTGATACCATCGTCATTTTTTCTGTGCAGATAGAACTTTTGAAAAGCTACAAAATGATTACAAAATGTAAAGGAAAATGTGCTGCACTTGAAAATTTCCAAGGACCGCACTGTTCAGATTCGACAGGAAAACTCATTGTTGGGATAGTATGGTCCGTACGATCGGTAGTATCGCTCCTGATACCATCGTCATTTTTTGTATTCAGATAGAACTTTACAAGACCTTCAAGATGAACATAAAATGTAAAGAAAAATATGCTGCGCTCGAGAATTTTCAAGGACCACACTCTCCGGATTCTATAGACACACCATTGTTAGGATAGTATGGTCCATACGATCTTGAGTATCAGTCCTGATACCATCACCATTTTTTCGGTGTGGATAGAGATTTTCAAGACGTACACAGTGATCACAAATGTAAAGGGAAATTTACTGTCCTCGAAAAAAATCACGGACGACACTATCGAATCGTTGTGAGAAAACGAATTGTCGAAAGAATATGACGAACGGGTTTTAAGACTCCGATCATAGAATGGTTGTGAATATTGGAGTAAGTGATAGAACGTATTGTAGGTAAGAAGCCGTTATGCATGCGGAACGAAGCAAGGCTTAAGCAATGTGTCGAGGATGATTAGTATGCAGTAATGGAAGAGTCATTTTAGGGGTTGAGAGGAAGGGTAGTAAACAGGCAGAGATTCATATAGAAGATGTAGTATACAGAGAGTTTGAGGTGGAGGTGGCTATATAGCGAAGGACAATGATGAAAAAATGTTGGCTAGATTGGGATTTAGACATGATACGAGATCAGAGAGAGAAGAGAGAATAGGTTTCGTGGAGAGTGATTTCGGTAGAGGTTAAGAGATGGCGCGACAGGTGCGAAGAAAAAGTTTTCCTTGGAGAGTGATTCGGAGCGTAGATGTTTCACACAGAGTGAGATATTAAGAAGAAATTTTTAAAGAGAAGCATTTGTTAGATTTATTTTACAGCTAGCGGTGATAAAATATAAAAGCGAGGGATTACATGAATTCTTATTACTTTTCGCATAAAGGCAGCCCGAACAAGTCATATATCTGTCATTGTTATGGTGGTTGCGCAAGTGTGAGCAGCGGACTTCCTCTAATTGCAAATTGGATTCGACTTTTCTTCATTAACGGTTTGTTTCCAACGTCTCCGCCGAGGGATGCCTACATTTGTACAACTAACCACCATAAGGGGGTCATATTGTTCAGCAATGTTATAGAGGGAAGTATAAATCATACCTCCAAAAACATATCATCGACCACACTATACTGACCGTCGATTACTCCCAACATTGCTGATACTGTGTGCCTTGAGATTTTCTGATCCTCATTGCTGCCTAATGTTTTATTACGATTTCGCAGCTCTTAAACCGCTCTATTTCCACAGAAAAAACGGCATTGGCATCAAGAGCCACAGTCAAGATCGCAAGAACAATACTATCAAATCCATTAGTTTTCCTTTAGATCCCGGACAGAGTGGTCCTTGGAAATTCTCAAATGCACCGCATTTTCCTTTACATTTTCTGATCATTATGTACGTCTTGAAAAGCTCTTTCGGCACAGAAAAAATGACTATCGTATCAGGAGCGATCATCAAGATCCTACAGACCATACTATCACAATAATGGATTTTCCTGTAGAACCTGGACAGTGTGGTCCTTGGAAATTCTCGAGCGCAGCATATTTCCTTAACATTTTGTGAGCATTTTGTAACTTTTCAGAAGTTCTATCAACACCGAAAAAATGACGATGGTATCAGGAGCGATACTCAAGGTCCTACGGACCATACTATCCCAACAATGAGTTTTCCTGTAGAACCTGGACAGTGTGGTCCTTGGAAATTTTCGAGTGCAGCATATTTTCCTTAACAATTGGTGATCATTTTGCAGGTCTTGAAAAGCTCTATCTCCCCTGAAAATATGAGACTGATTTGGTAAACTAACGCGGTTAACCTATGAGGAGGATTCTGATATTGATAATGCTTCTGTCCTAGGTAGAGATGTCGAGAAGAGGTCTCGAAACATGACCTGAAAGAGGTCCAGATGCTTTATTCTTACTTAGAGGAAGATGAAATTCAATTTTATAAAGTGTTCCGAGATGATTTTTATTTAGAGCCGTTTTACGAGCAAACCCGCCCCCCTCCTTTTACATTCCATCTTGAATTCATTACGGATGCAAATTTTAATATTCCAAAGCTCACCTGACGAGTCTGTTAAGCAAAGAGGAATTCAGTCATGAGAAGCTTTTGAATTTTTTTTCTAATAAACTTAGCTTCACCTCCACACTCTCCACTCAAACTTTTCTGCTCGTTCTTTCCTCTCCTAGTCTGTTTACATTCTAGTTAGGATATCTTTTCTAATAGAAAATCGTTTCTTTATGTCTATATTAAGAATGAATACTATATATACAATTAATCGTCATTATTTGATAATCACAAGAAAATAGAAATATTATAACGAATAGCAATTCGTGTTTTTTGAACGATTAAAGTCCTTTTTCTCTCTTTTTTTTCTCGTAAATGTTCATGTAAACAAACACTTCGACTTTTAACTATAAATTTAGCAAGAAAGAGAACATTGCTTTGGCATCCGTGAAAGCATTAGATTCTCTCTTTTTTTCTCTCATAAATGCTCATGTAAACAAACACTTCGACTTTTAACTATAAATTCAGCAAGAAAAAGAACATTGCTTGGGCATCCACGAAAGCATTAAATCTCAAAAAACTACAAATGCTGCATTCGTCAAGAGAAAGAAAGGGAAACCATTCAACGATTTTTTTGTTTTACGCAACAGAAACAAATAATAATTGTTTTTACAAAGCAGTATCGTCTTTGCTGATTGAAGAATGGCGCCCGCTGAAGAATAAGTATCGATTGTACAATGACGACCAGTACACAAAAAGGAGAAGTGTATAAATCCCGTCTTCAATTCGTTGATACTAAACGACCGAAAAGTTATCGTAATCTGAATAATTCATCACTGATAGGCTTTGGATCAGATATATCGTATACATCATCAAAACAATCGCAATCTGCGGTGAGAACTCTTAATGTGAAAGATTTGGTAGAAATTCCATCAAAGTACGATTTCTTGTTTTGCTTTTCGTTCATATAACTGAATTGATTTTTGGAAAGACGTTCACGCCGACGTGGTTGGTTGTTTGCATTTGGTATTGGACTTTGCTGCTTGTTAATCACTGCTATTACAGTATCTGTTCCCCTGGCTGTACTCTATTTCAATAAACAGACGACTACATCGACTTCCACTACTACCAACACTACAGCTTCCACTTCTATCAATACTATAGTTTCCGCTACTACTTGTAAGTAATTGCATCCCCATGAAGCTTCCAATGGAAAAGAAATCGAAAAAAAAAATTTTCTGTTGTTGATTTCTATTGAATAATTTCAGATTTACCAACATCTTGCAATGCGACCTGTAATATTACCAGTCGAGCTGCTCTGTCAAGTTATACAGCAGTATGGACTTTTGAAAACAATCTGAACGATATTCTTAATGTAGGAATTCATATCTTCCATTCGTATACATCCGAGACTGTCTAGGTCTACAATGGCACCAGTGTGAACGATCCTGGGTATAGCACAGGCTATGTTGGCAAAGCATTGAGTTTGAATGGCTCACAATATGTAACGACGCCATTTATCAATTTCGCTAATTCAAGTTTCACCGTCGAAGCCTGGATTCAACCAGTGACATTGGTTATAAATGGACCGGATTATGCCGTATTTGGGGAATGTGATCTTAGCGGTGCTGCAAAAGATAATTGTATGCATTTAATTCTGAGAAATTTCAATCCATATAGTATATATATGGGTAAGTATCAGTTTATATGAAAGTGTTGGTACTGTTGCGTGTTTGTTTCTTTGGAAAAGGATTTTGGGTCGATGATCTTGTGAGTCGAACAACATTGCCAGCTAGTCTCGCAGGCACTTGGTTGCATGTGGCATTTGTTTATGATTTTTCCATTAAACAACAAAATATCTATCGCAATGGTTACAATGATGGGCAAGCAAATTTAACTGGAACACCTGCTGCTTATGTGGGCACATCAGGTCTGGTCAATATAGGTATGGAATAGAATGTTAGAAAAATCTTTGTTCTGAATTTATTTTTGTATCGACATATAGGTGCTTTTCAAACAAATAATCAATTCAAGGGACTTATTGATCATATGTTCGGTATGTCGTGTTGAGAATTTTTTTCTTGTTTATTAATTCTTTTCTTTGGAGTGAGCAATCGGGCTAAGAGTGCTTGCGAAATCCTGGATGATGCAACTCTAGTTGCCTATTTTTCATTTGATTCTGGTTCTCTACAAGACAGTGGCCCGAATTATTTCACTGGTACCATCACATCTGGTGTGACCACTGTCAGTGGTTATGTCAATCAAGCTTTGGCATTCGGTGCATCGAGTACCTACTTTTCTGTCGGTAATCTGGTCGCATTGGGGACATCGAATAAAGCTTTTTCATTTTCACTTTGGGTCAAACCAACCGCATACACCGGTGTTGGGACGATTGTTCATGTAGCAAATGGAGCCGACGGTCATACCAACGGTGTCTCTTCATGGTGTGCACCATTTATCGGATTGGATTCTTCAAACAGACTTGTTGCTCAATTATGGAATGGATCTGCAATCCCTATAGTCGGATCTACACTTTCGTTGAATGTGTGGACACATATTGTTGAAACTTACAGTATGGCCAATGGGGTTATTTTATACGTGAATGGAATTCAAGTGGGAACCACGGGGGCTGCAAGTTATTCTGCAAGTGAGGTTCCAGATTATGTTTTACTTGGTTATTACGGATCGTCGGGTTCTAATTGCCAAACAGGTTATATTACTGCAGGACAATTCACTGGAGCCATTGATGAATTTCGAATCTACAGTCGAGAACTGAGTCTAACTGATGCATGTGTTCTTGCAAATCAATGAAAGGATTATTTTTATGGAAGTCAATTACCTTATGGTTGTTTTTTGATAATCACGATATGTATGTTTTCGGTTTAATAACATGAAAGATAACTGTGTGAGTACACTTCATTCTGAGTAAATACAGAAACTTAGTATGAATTATTCTTTTTTTATGTCTCTTGTACAATACAATTAGCAATCTGTTTTCATTACACCACAGCAACAACAGGTGTATGAGTTTGATTTTTTCAATGAAAATATGATCGATCAATATGATAGTCATTTAGAATGAATTTGTTTCGTCAGTAGTGAAAAACCTGCATGACATAACACAATTCATGTCCAGTAATGA